CCCCCCCCCGCACACACTCACACGCACGCGGACACACTCACGCACACGCACCCCCGCTGGGCCGGTGCAGACGTGTCCTTGAAAGCTTCGCATCTGTACAGTGAAGGACGAGGCCTCGCCAAGGCTGCGGATCGGGGTCTTCGGCCCCACGTCCCCGCGCCCCCGGAGACCCCGAGCTTCGGAGCCGCAGGCGGCCGCAGTCCGTGTCCCGCCCTCACCCCGGCTCCCCTCCCCCAGGCCGCCCTGCCCTCCCTCCCCCTCGGCGCAGACGGAGCTGGCGTGTGTCCAGGGCCCGCCCCCGGCCTCCCCCAGCCCCCCATCGCTGGGGCCCGCGGCCCTCGGGCTGCCAAACTGCGTTTCGCTTTTTTGGAGCCTCCCTTCTTGGGGGCACCCACTCCCTTCCCTGCTCCCCTCTGTTATTTCCCCCTTTTCTCTCCATCCCCTCCGTCCTTCCTCTTCTCTCTCTACTGCAAAGCCAGTTGAGTAGGTCTTGGCGCCCTGGGTGGGGAGTAGGGGGCTTGCTGGTTCTCAGGGGCTCTCTTCCCCAGCTCCCGAGGGGAGCCCCCTGCGGCTGCACCTTGACCCAAGATGGCGTCCTGCACCCAGCTGGGCAGCTCTGGCCTGCGTCAGGCGGGGGAGGAAGGGCCCGGGCCCCAGAGCCACACAAGTCGCCCCCTCCCAAACCAGCAGGGACAGGAGCCTACGGGAGAAGCGTCCTCCGCCCTGTGACCCAGCTTGCCCCTCACTGCCGTGCCCAGAGACTGCCATCAGCATCCCTGGGGGACTGTTCAGTCTTCATGTTTCACCCTGGGCTGCCAGCGGCTGAACCGGCCTCCTGGGCTGGCGGGCTGAGAAGGGATCCTGGGATCAGGTGCTGCTCCGTTGTGCCTCCTCCCTCTCAGGCAGATGTGACAGCTGCAGCCAGGGAAGCTTTTCTCCTTGGGCCTTGCTGGAGTGTTAGGGCTGGCCTGTGGGATTTGAGGAGCCCAGCTGTCAGGCAGACCCTCTTTGGGCTGTCCCCTCTGCTGGCAGGGCCATCTCCTGGTGCTTTGCTGAGCTGCCTGGGTTCGGAGGCTTGAGTTGTCCGGAGTTCTTACTAGCTTTCTGGAACAAAGTGGTCCTCCTCTGCCTCCAGGTCCCATTGAGGCCCTGGTTGGGCTGTTTGACAGGCAACTTGGTGAAAGCGTGAGTCTGTATGCCGTGTGTGTGCATGTGTGCACGTGTGCTGCACGCAGGCAGGGGCCCAAGGCAAACTTACGCAGCGGGTCTGGCACCTGCCTGCCTCCCTTCCGGGGCCCACTTCTTTGGGTCCTGGCTCCCTCTCTAGCCTCTTGCCCAGTTCCTTGGTGCTTGTCTTCAGCTACTCATCAGATGCTGAGTTCCTGGCTCAGGCTGACCAAGGCTCTCCTTGTTCTCCTTCCCAGTCATGTGGGCCTGCACTAGGAGGCTGACCTTAGAAAAGGTGAATTCCTTCTGGACTCACACAGTGATGGGTCCACAGTGCGGGGGCTGCCCCCTGAACACTGGAGAAGCATAGGAGAGGACGACTGGGGCCATCTGTCAGGGTGTCTGCGGACAGGATTCCTCTCTCGGGTGGCGGTTGGACTGGAGCTTGAAGGTCCATTCCAACTTTTAAATTCTATGGCTCTGATTCTAGTGGTGGAATTTCAGACCCAGGAATGGGGGCGGGGTGGTCTGTTTTTCACTACACAGCGGTAATCAGGAAAGGCTTCTGAGGAGAGGAGGTCTGAGAGAGGGCAAGTCTTCCCTGGGGGATAGGCCTTTGAAAGGAGAAGGTGGTTGGGGGGATGGGGTCTTGGAAGAGACAGGTTTGTCACATCTGAATCCACAGAGGGTGTAAAAGTACAGCCTCCAGTTAAGCCTCCACACCTGTGTCCTTCTGTAGGTTTACGTTTAAATCCATGTGTGAGCATAATTTCTGAGGTTTCCTCCACGAGTCCAATTCACAATAAGCTCCTGAGTCCCTTAGGGGTATTTTACTATCACAGTCACACACATCACTGCCATTGGTCCTCTGAAAAAGCCTGCAAGGAAGACAGGACAAGCTATGAAATACTTGCCCAGGGTGACCTGGCCGGGAGGAAGTGGGGCCAGGCCTGCCTTCTGGGAACTTAGACTGTCTCCTGCTACAGCTCTTCTAGGCTGCTGCTTTGCGTGTCTATCTCTCTGGTCAGTTTGTGGTCTCCACAGGACAGGGACCTTGCCTTGGCTGCCTCTGGGTCCCCCATCGGACATTGATTGGGGCCTCCGTGGGTGTCTGCTGAATGGTGGGGAAGCTTGCTGCACATCTGTGTTTTTGGTCCCTTTCCTCTCCCTAGCAGCAGGTTTGGTGGCTGGGCTCTCTTCTGCTTGCTGCTGCTATGCCTTCACTGAATGGCCATCACCGACTTATAGGCCAGTTTCGTAGGCTCAAGCCTCCCTCAGAGACCCAGGTTCTTTCCCAGCAAGAGCCCAGATTCCATCAAGGAGTCTTTTTGGGAACTAGATAGAAAGGGGACTCTGAGAGCAGCCTTTTGGACTCTAATGGGTGAGTTAAAAATAGACTACCCTCTCCCCATCCTTGGGCCTGAAATGTTACCATTAGAATCCAAGCCTTAGAGTTTAGGATTGAAAGAGAACTTTGAGCTCTGAGAACACTTGGTGCTGGGTTGGGGGCTGTTTGGGTGTGGGGACAGGCCCCGTTTCTTCCAGAGTTTGAAGTGCTGCCCAGAGCCTGAGGCCAGAAGGGCTGGTTGTGTGCCCGTCACATGCTTCTCTCCCTCGGCACTTCCTGCTGCCTTCTGCTTGCGTGGGCCTGGGGTCCCTGACTTGGTGCCCAGGTCCCTTTCCCACCATGCCCCACTGATAGCTAATAATTGTGTCTCTGGCCTCTGGCTTGGGAACAGGCAAGAGTTAGGGCCGAGGCGCGGCCCACAGGAGTTGTTTCCACTTCCATTTTGGTATCTAATAGACGGTAGAGCCCGTCAGGATTCCGCCTGCCCTTTGAGGCTGGGCATCTCCATGGTGCTTTGCGTGTTGCTGCTCCCGAGCAGGACCTTAACAGTACACTAAAGGTGCCAGATTCCTTTCCACCCAAATCTTGAGGGCTCATTCTCAGTCTCTCCTTTTGACTGTTTTTCCCTGAAAAACTACCAAATCTGAGATCCATGCAGTGTCAGAGATTTGCCTGTGTGTCCAAGCCTGCCTCCACTTG